CTGCTCATACTAATGGAGATAAATTTAAATTGAGAGATTTTTCCCACCAGCGGATCAGTCGTGGCTTCTTTCTATGCCCCGATCACTTTTCCACCCGCTTCCGCTGTTGCCTACAAGAGAAACAAAGATGGAACCCAGAAATTAGTCGCAATCGGATCTTTACTCAACATTAATCCAGATCGAGTTGTCGTTAAACGGATCAGAATAAGTGGCCATCCTTTCAAAGTCGTCGGTAAATCGGCCGTTGTGAGGTACATGTTCTTCAATCGAGAAGATATCAAGTGGTTCCAACCAGTCGAGTTAAGGTCTAAATATGGTCGCCATGGTCACATTAAGGAACCTTTGGGAACTCATGGGCACATGAAATGTATTTCGATCGCCCCTGACCTCTAATGACACCGTTTTAATGAATTTGTATAAAAGAGTTTTTCCAAAATGGTGTTTCGATGAGACTGTCGAGAAACCGAAATCAATTACAATGGATTCTAATCAATTAGATGAGTAAATGAATAAATTGAGTTGTGTATAAATTGTGGATGAAAAAGAAATTAAATGAAACATTGAAAACAGAATTATGATTAACAATTCATTTTCTTTCCTTTGATTCTTTATTTCTAATAATCAAATTTTTCTCTTTCTCACCTTCTATTTTCTTCTCAACTTTTTTCCAATATTATTATGTAAACCAGTTTGTTGTTAACTTGACTTTAATTAATTTGGGAATAAATCATAATGTAGTTATGACACTTGGTAAATCATTTTGGATTTTCTAATTTGATTTTGAAGATTCGATTTCAGCAAAATATCAATGACCATGAGAGAGATAAAGGGAAGGTGAGAAAAGTGCATCAGTGGAAAAGCTGAAAATGGAAAAGCAAATCTAATAAATCAAAATAGTGAAAGACAGAAGAAGCATGACAATCAGAAAGAGAAATGGATGAAGGGAGAAGATTATTACTGGCAAAGTTTTTGGTATACAACATAATCTTTTTGTTTATATTTGAGACAAATATGTTAGAGATAAACTTTGATTATCCATCATTATCATCATGAATAAATAATAGCAAAGAACGAGAATATTTATGTTGGAATTATTGGAATTGTGTGGCTGTGTTGGTATAATTTATAGAAGTAGAGTAAATTTGTGAATTGTTGATCTCTGGTTGCTTTGAAGTTTGCAGTGTATTTTTGTAGCCTGATAATGATTAGTATTGCCATGATTTCCAAGACAAAAATTCATTTTCAAGAGAGAGAGAGGGAAACAGTAGAAGAAATTGAACAAAAATAAGAAATAGATGGAGAAATAATATCAGCAGAGAAGAAAAAGAATTTGTCTATCTGAGATAGATGATTGATTAATTGGTGAAGAAAATACTATCCAGATTTAAAAAGCAATATGGCAACTTGACCCAGGTAAAAGTAAATGAAATGTTTAGTTTCATGGGTTACATATGAACCAAAATTACGACCCACAATACAATGCCAGGTTGGGTTGTATTTCTTGTCAAACTCCTTCTTTATAAAAGCAGCAATATCCTTCTCAATATTATACTTGTCCAATGCTTGGATTGATGTATTGATAGCATCATCTTGCATCTCGTCACTCATGTCGGCATTTTTAACCACAGCTTTCTTATCCGTACTCATCTATAAATAAATAATGATAATAATATTACAACAAAATAGAAAAATAATCAAATCATCAATAAATAATCAACAAAACAATTCAAATAAACAATCACTTCAAATACAATTCATAAAAAAGAGAAGCAATAAATATTAATAGTATAAATACAAATAGAGAGATTAAAAAAAAGAGTGAAAAAAAATTCTATTTAACAAAAAACCGAAACCAAGAGACAGACACAAAAAAAGTAAGAAACAAAGAAAGAGCAAGTCAAGGGAAAAGAAAGACAATTGGCAAAGAAAAAGTAATACTCACATTGAACTAATTTTATTTACCGATGACACCACAAAAATGTGACAAATAAATATCACTTTTTTAAACAGTTCTATGGATAGAAAACAATTGATAAAATAAAATTATTACCAACAATTAATTGTCAAAATTTATAAATCAAATACATGAGGTGAAAAAAACAAGAATCAAGAAGAGACAGAAAAAAATAACAACAGATTTGAATTGAATATTTATTGAAGGAGTGGAGTGAATTGTAATTAACAAGTCGACTACTTGGTGGAGTTTCCATCGGTTACCATGGATACAAGAGTTTCTATCATAAAGATGAACCTTTTTTTCATCCAATCAAAAGAGGAGAAAGCAAAGACTGAGCGGTAGTTTCGACTTTCTTTCTTTAAGGGTAACATTCAAATCCAAAGGCAAGTAATTTGTGTTCACATTTTTCTCTAATTTTTTCTATCCTTTTTAATTGTGAGGATAATTAATTAATTTGATTATTCTTTTTAATTGTTGTTTTAACCATTTAAATGATTCGAATGGTTTTTTAGAAAAAGTTAAACAGAATTGGTGACATGCGCTTTTCTAACTCAATCCGGAACAAGTTCCGATTGGAGATTAACATCACAACGCCCTCTCTCTTTCTCTGTATTGTCAATGTAGTTTCTTGTTTTTTTTTCACCTCATGTATTTGATTTATAAATTTTGACAATTAATTGTTGGTAATAATTTTATTTTATCAATTGTTTTCTATCCATAGAACTGTTTAAAAAAGTGATATTTATTTGTCACATTTTTGTGGTGTCATCGGTAAATAAAATTAGTTCAATGTGAGTATTACTTTTTCTTTGCCAATTGTCTTTCTTTTCCCTTGACTTGCTCTTTCTTTGTTTCTTACTTTTTTGTGTCTGTCTCTTGGTTTCGGTTTTTTGTTAAATAGAATTTTTTTTCACTCTTTTTTTTAATCTCTCTATTTGTATTTATACTATTAATATTTATTGCTTCTCTTTTTTATGAATTGTATTTGAAGTGATTGTTTATTTGAATTGTTTTGTTGATTGTTTATTGATGATTTGATTATTTTTCTATTTTGTTGTAATATTATCATTATTTATTTATAGATGAGTACGGATAAGAAAGCTGTGGTTAAAAATGCCGACATGAGTGACGAGATGCAAGATGATGCTATCAATACATCAATCCAAGCATTGGACAAGTATAATATTGAGAAGGATATTGCTGCTTTTATAAAGAAGGAGTTTGACAAGAAATACAACCCAACCTGGCATTGTATTGTGGGTCGTAATTTTGGTTCATATGTAACCCATGAAACTAAACATTTCATTTACTTTTACCTGGGTCAAGTTGCCATATTGCTTTTTAAATCTGGATAGTATTTTCTTCACCAATTAATCAATCATCTATCTCAGATAGACAAATTCTTCTTTTCTCTTCTTTCCCTCTTCCTCTTTTTCTTTCTTTATCTCTCTTCCTTTTCTCCCTCTATCTCTCTCTCTCGCTTTTTCTCTTTCTTTCTTTCTCTGTCTATACATATTTGATGTGTCTCATAATGATAATGTATTAGACAAAATTAAGAAGGACATTCAATGAAAAGATAAAGAAAAGAAATAAAGAATCAAAGAAAAGAAAATGTATTTCTCTTCAGTTCCTGACGATTGTTTCATGTAATTACCTTTCCATCGACAATCCATCCCAATTAATCTAATGTTCTTCTATTTTTCAACAGTTTCACTTTGGAAAAAACTCTAAGTCTCAATTTATTTATGGAATCTCATTCATTCTGAACAGTTAATTATCCAGCGAACAATCAAAGTTCTGAAATTTTAAGCGAAAAACAATTCGTTTCCATAAACGTTCAAGAAATTGTGTATAAATTGTTTCTTTAATTCAGATTATACATTCAAATACCTTGAGTTGTGTTCAACAATTGAGATTTTTTATAATTTTGATTCATTTCAATTATCTAACAATTGAGAAAGTGATTGAAAAGGTAAAGGTAATTTAAAGAAGAAAAAAAGATTTTCATTTCAACGGAATTAATTGTTTTGTGCTATTTGAAATGTAATTTGTTTTGATTATCATCATACGAAGATCTCAATGTAGTTGATGATCAATCTCATTGATTGCAATTAATTGTGAGATTTCTCCCCAAACTGGATTAAGTTTTCTTGTCATTCTTTTTTTGTGAATTATTTGTTGGCCTCGGAAGATTTTTTTTCGTTAATTTATAATTATGGACATGATTCTGTTGTTATAACTGTAAATTGTGATTTAAAAACAGAAAAAAAAACTTGATTGAAATCGCAAAGATTTTTCATTCTTGCAATAAACGGTAATAAATATTTACATAATTGGAATCAATTTATTATTGGCCCTGTGATTAATTATCACTTAAGATCAAACAAACAACAGTGACAACAAAAAAATCAATTGTCCACCATTAACCTTTGGGGGGAATGTTAATCGATCAAACAATCAACGAGAAGAGTCTTGGTAATTGTAATAGAAATGATTTTCTTTTTGTAAATGCGTTTTGATTAAGATGATTTTCTTAAAATTAATTGATTGATGGCGATTTGTGTATATTAATTGTTTAGTTTAGTCGAAAATGTTGTTGGTACAAGTCGACGAGGTTGAAAAATCGGAAGGGCCAGAGAGAATCTTCTTAATGCATGACCCATATTGAATTCTGGTTGATTAGTTGATTGATTATGACGATGATTTAATCTATTCGAGGCCAACCTTAGTTGTCATTCACTTTCCAATCCTCGTCCTTCAAGAATCTCATCATCGTTTGAACCAAAATCAATTGTCTCCTGATTGGAATGATGCCGATGGGAACTATGCTTATGATCGGTGTCAACCACGAACCCTCTGAACAGCTCCATAGGAACGGGGAAAACGATGGTTGAATTTTTTTCCGCTGCTATTGAATTAAGAGTTTGCAGATATCGCAATTGTAATGCTGCAGGAGAATCGGCAATTACTTCAGCAGCTTCTTTTAATGCTCGAGATGCTCGTTGTTCACCTTCAGCAGCAATCACTTTGGCACGAGCTTCTCGTGCAGCTTCAGCCTCAGCGGCCATAGCACGTTGCAGTTGAACAGGTAAACGAACATCCTTACTGTTTAAGAAAAAAGAGAAAATTCCATTTTAAAATCTCAAATTGAATCGAAATTGAAATTCGATTGGATATTTTTTTTTTCGAAATCAGATCAATAATTACATTTCAACTCTTTCCACTTTAACTCCCCATGAATCAGTTGCTTCATCCAAACTCGATTGTATCATGTGACTAATTGATTCTCGTTCGGATAAAATTTCTGATAAATTTTTAGTACCCAGAACATTTCTCAGCGTTGTTGCGGCCAAAAGTCGTGTTGATCTCGCGTAATCTTCAACATTGGAAACTGAGGCGATCGCATTGCTGATCCGGAAATAAACAACAGCATCGACAGCCACAGTTACAGAATCTTTTGATAAAATCTAATCAGAGAGAAGGAACAAAAAAAATCAGAGAAAACGCTAATTAATCACCAATTCAATTGATTTCAATTATCTTTTCAATTTGATCAATTGTCAATGATTGAAACAAATAAAAATCAAATAGACAAGTAAATAATCATGTAATTCAATTATATTCACAAAGTCTATTGAATTAATGAAATAATAATAAAAGCATTCATGATAATCATGAATACACATTGATAACTATAAAGTGAATAACAAATTAGAGAAACAACAACAATCAACTTTGTTGTTTAATTATATTTAATGTAAATCAGACAATGAACACAGGGAATGAAGTAACATAATAATTATCAGATAAACAATCAACTAATTATAATTCACAACAAGGAGAAAACAATGAGATGATTATCATTAAGGTTGCAAAGTAAATATCATGTTGACAATGAAAAAGGAAAACATTTTAACCTGATTTGAATTAAATTGTTGTGGTTCTGATAATAATTAATTGTTGTGTTTTGTTTCTTCCTGTTTTCATTTAATTAATTTGTTAAACTTGGATAACTTTTGCTCATTATCACCATTGATTTATCATAATCATCAGTATTATCATATGTTTGTATGTTATTACAAACAAGTTGGTTACATTCAATCAATCAATCAAAATGTTAATCAATAAATTGTTTTGCTTACTCAGTTGATTATAACCAATGTTATAATAATAACAATATAATACTAATAATAAGTAGGAAAGAAACAATAACAATAAGAAAAAGGATGAGGACGAAAAGAAACAATGATTTCTGGTTGAGTTAATTAGATTGTAATCAAGAAAACGGAATAATCAGTTTTGGGGTGATGTTTATCCCTAATCAAGTGAACCTTGTAAAGCTTTTCCTATCATCATTATCATCATCGTTATTATTACAACAATCAGGTAAGAGAGAGAGAGATGGGGAGCAATTTAAAGGCTAAAATGAAATGTTTATACATTTGATACGGTCAAGTTAATGGTCAAGTTGTAATAACAGTGAGAGAGTGAGACGGTTAAAAGGATCCATCAAATCAAGGAAAAGCTTTTCGATCATGAAAAATATACTCTACATGTATTACTATTTTCTAATGTTGGTTCAATATAAACATTTTATATCAATGGTCAAGAAGAAAATGAGAAGAAATAGAATGATGATAATGATGATGGAGATGAAGATGAAGAAGGAGGAAGATGAAGAAAAGGTAAAGTTGATTGTAAGGGATTTTACCAATGATTTGTTACATTTCTCTTGTTATCAAACTGATCTCTTATATTTATCCTTCAATGATTATCTCTCAGTGAATACGATCCAAGACAACCCACAATGATTATTATCGTTTCTCTCTCTCGTTTACCGTTACCTTTACTCCCAACATTTTTACTAAAAACGGAAAAGGAGTAAGTAACTCATCAGTCTACATGTACATATATATATATGTGTGTGTATGTATTATCGTAATAATAATGATGATGAAAAGTAATAATAAATAATAGTAAAGGTTTTCCTTGTTTCTCCTTCTCCCTCTTTTACTATGGTCTCTCTCTCTCTTACATCTTTTTACTTTTTTTCAGATGAATACTCATGGATGTTTATTGATCTCTTTCTCTTGTCATCTTCATCTTCTCCTTTCTCCTTCATGGTGTCCATCCTTATTTCTTCAACGTTTGTCTTCCCTTCCTCAATTATATACTAGAAGATGGTAGTTTTCCGTTTCCTCAACCGTATAAAGCTTTTATTTTATACTTTTTCCCCCAACTTGCTCTCTACTCCTTTTCACATGTAATATATGATATGAAATTGTAGTTACAAGTTAGAAAAGGAAAAAAGCAGAAATAAGAAAAGATATAATAATAATAATGAGGACGAGGATAAGGATGACAATGACAATGATGATGATGATGACTATGTTAGAAGATGATGATATTGAGGATATGTAAGATGTTAGGAAGAGAGAAAGAGAGAAAGAAGATGAGATTGATGATAATAATACCTCTTGAGGAGGAACATCAAATGAAACTGTCCTTAGGTCAACCTTAGAATAAGTATCAATACAAGGAATGATGAAGAAAATACCAGGTCCTCGAGCACCACCGGTTACCAAACGACCTAACCGGAAAATAACTGCTCTTTCATATTCTTGGACAACCTAAAAAAGTGAATGAGAGAGAGAGAGAGAAAGACAATAAAAACAGAAATATTGGATTAATGAGATAGATTATTAAAGATATTAAATCATGTGTGTAAATACAATAAAAGTAAATCAATATTGTCTTCAAGTGAATGGACAATGATATCTCTTACTAGGAATGACCAAAGTGCTTATACTTTACCTTAATGCAGAAGAATAAGGAAAATGGTAAACTTGTAATTATAAGTATCACAGAGATGAGTTTGAGTGAATAAGCACAATAAGCTGGATCCTCGATAACATTTGCTGTTGAAATGAGAAAATTAAGATTAGTACTAATTGCGAAAATTAAAAAACGAAAACAAAACAAACAATTGAATCAATCGATCTTTATATTGACCAATGGAAGAAGAGAAAAATTCAATCATTGATTAGCATATCACGAAACTAAAAGATTAAATTGTGAATGTTAATATAATTATGGTAATCGAGTTGCAATCAACTTAATTGTTACAATGATCACAAGTTGGAAAGTTTTCTTTATGAATCAATGGAAAATGATTTTTACTATTTTTCTTTCCTTCTCTTTATTGATTTGATTCTGAACAATTTATTCTTTCAATTTGGTCATCAAATCAACCTAATTGAGTTGAAAGAAAAGTTAAATTGTGATGGACAATTAAACTAAATCACAATTAATGTGACAATAAGTTGAACAATGTTAAAGCTCAAGTGGACATGGGAAAACTTAAATGATTTGTGAACGAAATCAACTCTAGATTTTGAAATGAAATTAGTTAATCAAATTGGTTGTAATCTAATGACAATTTAGATTAAATTGTTTTAGTTAATACATTGAGCCTTTTTAAAGATCAAGTTGAACAAATTGTCAATTGAAATGCTAATCAGTGGATTAGTTAAACTCCAATTTAAATGATTGTTAAGAAGAAGAAAATTTATCTAAGAAAGGATTAAGAAATGATTCGAAACTGGTTGATAATTTAATTCCAATTGGAACGGATAATCCATGATATTTATCGATCTACAAAAGAGCAATAAAATGAATTTACACCGATAATATCATTTCATGATTCTTTTCTTACCAAGATATTCCAACCACTGAATTCATCTTATTCTGAGGTTTCTATTTCCATGATATTTTCTGATATTAGGAAAACCCGAATAACCTGATAATTGAATTACTTAGGAAACAAATCTAAAGATGAGGATGAAGGAGACTTATCTTCATGGTGACATGGAGGATAAGGGATGAAAAGCATGATGATTCTTGATGATAAGATGAAAGTTGTTCATAATCATTCAATTGCTTGTTATACTCAATTTAAAAGGTTATCTAAATTAAGAACTTTTTTTCTCATCGAGTTACCATTTTATTTTTATTCCTTTCCCTTCCTGATCAGTAGACATTATCAATACTGTTCAGTATTTTTAAAAATTATCATTATAAGAAGTGTATCCATGCGGACATTGGTCATCCAAATGATAATCATCGTCATCATAATAATAATCGTGATTCAATATTCATTTGAATGAACCAATTGAATGAACACTTTTGAACAGATAGTTTTTTATTACCTCAGAAATTCAGGATAAAATAATGAAGAAAGAAAAAGAAAGAAAGAAAAAGTAACACAAATGGAGAATTTGAAATTTTTTTGTTCGAAAATCCGAAAGAAAAGAAGAAAACTTTCTAAAGAGTAAGTTCGATGGAAAAAAAGTTCTATTAGTTTTCAAAGTAAATTCAATGTTATCATAATCAATTCCCTTTTAGCAATTCAATTTCATCTCTCACGTTTTTTGTACTTTGTTCAAATTTCATTCAATTCGATGAAATCTAATCAATCAATTTCAATCTACATTTTTTGTTGTCACATTCATCATTATCATGAATGGGAGGGACACTGAGAGAGAACTACTATTAGTGTCAAAATTAGAGTTCGAAATTTGTTTCGAACAAGGCAAAAAATACGTTCTAAAGGTGAGAAGTTTTTTTTTCTCTTCGTTTCCAGGAAAAAAAGTGAATATCGATTTGACCCATGAAGCATGAACATGATCATTATCAGATTAACTCGATAACATTCAGAAAGAAAGTGACCTTATCTCATTGTTATTGTTTTCCATTTCTATGGAAGGAAAAATTGAAATTCACAAATTGATGATAATTACATGGTAATAACAATTACTATTCAAAATTAGATAATACAAATGAATTATCTCATTCATCATCATCATTATCGTTATTATCTGAATCTAGAATCAGAACTTTTTTTTCATGCCAACAACAAAACATGAGAAATAATAATAATAATCATCATGATAATTAGCTGAACCATGACAAAGAACAATGAAATTTGCTGTTAGTGAATCATTGAAATTGATGATGATGAAAGAAAGATGAAAAATTTATCATTCTAATTGTTAATTTAATCTAGATAACTTTTCATCATTAGATAATTGTTATTAATATTTAACTTTAATCAGTTAAATTTTCACTCCCAAAAAATGCTGACCTTATATTGTAAATCATTATTTGTTTCAGATTTTTATTCAGGAAAAACATGATAATCATTATTAATCAAAATCATTTATCATAATCAAATTGTTGGCAACAAATTTACAGTTAATTTGTAATAATTATCTTACCAACAATTTACGGAAATAGTTTAATATAAACAAAACAATTGAAATCACTAATTATGATCAGTAAATGATAAATAAATCTACATATAAATGTCTTGATTTCTATTATTAACGGTAACAATTAACGTTAATGGTTCACATTAATATTAATACCAATCAAATTCAAATTGATCATCATTGGGTTTCTGATTCTTTAGTCAATTGTCCTGACATTTTATCAATATTATCAATTAACTTGACGATGGAAACCTGATAATTGACACTAATCAATTTGAAAGTTTGAATTGTTGATTACCAATAGTTACAATCAAATTGAGTGGATACAAAAAGCTTAAACTAATTTGTTCATCTGTCAATCAATTGATTTGATCAAATTGTTTGTATCAAACATTTTTAAGATTAAAATTAATTTACTTTTCAGTTGATTAGTAAATTGTAATTTTGAAATCAAAGTAAAAGTTAATTGTGTTTTCTGTAGCTGTTAAAGGTAATTAACACTGTGAACTTAAATGAGATTCCAACAATTAATCAGTTAATCAGTCAGGAAACCAGAAAAAGTAATCAATTCAAAGTGAATCCAACGAGTCTTGAACTTTGTTGTCTTCTAATCAACCAACAAAAACTAAATTAATCACTAAATTGTGTCCAATCAATTTAATTGTTGCTTGTTCATTTATACTTATAGTCGAAAGGTCAACAAATTAAACCAATTTAATCATTCCCGTTGATTTTAATGATGTTACTTGATCAATTTGAATGACATTACTTTGTAAATCAATCAATCTTCAAACACAATTGTGTTTATATTATTTTTTTCTCAATATTATCATTAAATTGTTTCTTGATTGACTTGAATTGTGATTGCAACAATTCAGTTAATCACTTAAAATCACTAGGAAACATTTTTGATAAGGAGATGATTAATCTACTTTATTGGTGAGTCCCAAAAAAGTGATTAATGTATCATAATTATCAAGCAATTATTAATGATGGAAGAGGAAAATTTGTTTTTGCCATCGAATCGTAACTTTTGATTATCATCTTAGAACTTGCGAATGACAATCAACTGATAACAATCAAGTTAATACATTGTTACAACTAATATGAAAAAAGGAGATTATCTAATGTCCAGTTGATTAGGTGCAAAATTTATTATCAGATTAGATGAGCAAGTAAATAAGATTTATATAAATCAATCAAGATTAACTTTTGATCATCAAGATATTGAACATTAATTACTTCATTTACTGAATGAAGAAACAAAGTTTCTAGTTGAAAAAAGTTCCTCTAAAAATGTTGATACTGAAAAATTTGATATTTATCATGATAATACTCAGAATCATTAGGAATCTTTAGTTTTTTTTGTGACACTTTTCCCTTATTCTTATCACTTCATGTTATCAATAATGAACCAGAGTCAATATGGCGACATTGAGGACATTAATTTGATAGCCAATCAGAAAATATCTCAAGACTCTGATAATCATGATGATGATCATCATCATCATGATGAAGGTAAAGGTTGAAATGGTTATTCCTGTTTGAAACTAATCTCTCTTGGAATAAGTGACACTCATTAAGAATCCTGAAGTGTAACATTTTTTTCCCTTCATCAATACATGTAATGTTCATGTTCATCTCTGAGGCTCATTCCGATGATGATAGAGAAGATAAAAAATAATCAATGAAGATAATGATGATGATGATGAGAATAAGGATAAGGATTGACGATGATACTCCATTAAATCTCTTATTTCCTTGTTAATAACATTATCAGACTCATGATTATCATGATTGTATGTTGAAAGTAATAGACACAAGCCAAGAAATTACCATTTATCTGATATTATAATAACTTCACCTTATTGAACTTGATCAATAGCAGATACTCAGGTGGACCATTAACTGAATACTTGGAACCAGTGGTTTTCATTGTTGATGTTGGATGAAAGAGAGAAAAATGATTTCCAATTTAAATTTTCCAATTTTCCACGTTGATTATCATGGTAAAGTTAACAGGGAACATGATACTTGAATTTAAGGTGAATCACTGATCCTAATCTTTTTCACTATCAACTCATTATGATCCATTTGAAAAACTCATGTAATCATCTTGATTATTTTTCCGATTCTTTGATTAAATTTCATCCCTAATCTTGAATTCTAAGCCATAGTGAGTATGAGTAATGTTAATTGTAATATTAACTATCTATTATTGGATTTAAATTGAAACCAATCAATGAATATACAGTCATGATTACAGTCTATGGTTTATTTATTTTACTCATGAAGGTGATGATTCAGTATCAGGGATTTCAGGGGATTTTATAATCATCTGTTTTCTTGCTGATTCAGGTATTTAAATAGATCTACGTTAACAAGGATTCTGAGAATGAAGAAAACTTGAAATTTTAAAACATTTAAAATGTTATATCAAGTTTCACTTTCGATTCCAATTGGGATTTCATCAGAAAACTTTGTCAACTCTATTTTCCCTGGAATCCTCTTCAATATCACCATTATCGTCCCATTGATTATGTGATAAAAAGATCGCTTAACTTGATTGAGTTAGAACGATAAAAAAAAGTTCTGATTTAAAGGTAAAGTATATCGTAAGTATTTGCATGAGCTATTTTTTGCTTAGC